TGAATTCTCACAGTATAAAATATTGATCCTCTCCAGATCCCAAAGAGCAAACTGAATGTTTTGGAACACAATTTTTCACCTATCTCAAGGTAAATATACCCTCAATCCAACCTCCAAGACTACTCATTGTACAACCTACATGCCAGACCAACATGACACCAAGTCAAGCCAAGAATCTCCAGCATCCAAATTCAGGGCTATCCTGAAACAACACGAACAGTCAAGCAGTCCAGCACTTGTGTTTTATGGACCTGATCACTATGGGAGCAGGTCTGAAGACAGTCATAACAGAGAGAAAAACAACAGTGCGAGTCCACATTAATCTCTATACTTCAGTAAACTGGGGGAGTTTGTTTTGGTCCTTGGGGGTTTTATTTTTCTGGTTTACTAAAGTGAAAACATAAGGAGAATAATAGCCTGCAAGCTGTTGTAGTAGAATAACATCTCGAAGGCTCTAATCATCAGTGTGAAATGATTTTATAAGATTTCAGAGCTGACTAGGAAAAAAAAAATGGGCTAAAGGGGTATTAATTGAAAAAAGTGAAGCAGAATGCTGGGAAAACAAACTTTGTTCCCAGAAACCAAGAACTGGGAATAACCGAGGCCTACCAAGGTAACCTAAAACCACAGCTGCCACTACATAATAAAACCTATTTTTCCATGTTGTAATCTTTGTTTCTTACTTTTATAAAACCCAAACCAAACCAGAAGAACAAACAAAACCTAAACCAAAATAATCTATGGGGTTTTAAGTCAACATACATCAAGATCAACTCAAGTCCCAAAGGGAAGCCTCATAGCAACACAGCTGAGCTGGGCACTCTGGGACACACCACGGCCAGGACTGCAGGGATGCTGACTCAGGACTGGTCTGAGAACCAGACTGGCACTTCCAGCTAAGAAGAGGTACTCCCAGGAAAGCCTTGCACTCAACAAACACTCAGCACCGAGCACCACATCCTCAACACTTGGGTGTGAAGCTTCCACGGAGATGGCGAAGATCTACAGGAGCTCAAACCATGCCTGCGGCCCCGGGTGGGACACAGCACCCTGCAGAACTCCTCTAAGAGACCTGAGACAGCCAAACCCACCTCTGGTGTTCCATTTACTTGTTTTCTGGCTCACTTTAGGGTTAAGATTATCTGGGTATCCCTGCAGTGTCTAGCAAAACAGAGCTGTCCTGATCAGGGCCTCTGGACAGCACAGAAATGTAAATACTACTCAAGAATAAATGAAACTCAATATAAACCCTTCTAGACTGACAAGACCTGGCATCCAAAGAAACCAAGGAATGCAAAGTGTATCAGGGTTCATTCTGGGATACAGAATGCTGTAGATTAACACAAAAGCACAGAATGTCCTCAATGCACTTTTGCTGTAAAAATTGTGCACATTTAAATGAGCCCCTATAATTAATGCCATGAGAATCTGTTCTTAAGCCTTTTGTAAATAAGTGGCCTTCTCTTAAAAAACTGTCCATTGTGTCTTCCCTTTTTTTTTCTTCTATTAAAAGCTACTAAAAATGTTTATATTGTGGAAGATTAATTAAAGAAAAATCAGACTCTTTATAGACTTTACTCCTATTAAACCCTGCCTGGGATAATGTAAATGATGCTAAGGAACCTACAGTGAGAAATTAAGACTGTTTTCTCTGATTGAACAGATTGTCTTATAGGGCAAAAACTCCCCTAAAGTCTGGACATTTCATAGGGGAATGTACATTTTACTGAGCTCCTGGATCTAACCATAACTTAAAATTACTACTTCCCAGGAAACAACTTCAAGATCAGGAAATTTACTGGGTTGAACATGCAGATCAAATGCTGAAAATCAAGATGCTGCAAGAGAAGAAAAATAAACATGTACCAAAAAACCCAACACTGCTGATTTGCCCACAGAATATTGCCTGCTTCTCATGCTTAAGCAGAGCAATGTATGTTAAATACATACAAGCATACTTACACATTTTTGGCCAAAAAAATAAGCTTACCAATCCACAGGTGTCCAGTTCAGCACCTCAGGCAGCCACTGACTACCTGTGACAAAATTAGGACACAGGACCCAGAGCCTTCTCAGGACATAACCCTGGGCCTACACAATCCCCAGCTCTGCAGTTATGGGTGTGGGTTAATACTGTAGCAGTTTGCAGTGGGACTAATATGCTTCTAATAAAATATGTCTGTTTGATGGTAGAGCTGTTCAGTTTCACCCTTCTGTCACCCCTCAGCTGGGAACTTCCTACGAAGGAAACAGGAGCTTCCCACATGCTCCTTCCCAAACACCAGGCTGCGAGCTGCTGTCACTCCCCTTTCCAAGTCACCTGCAATGCAACTGATACCAAATCATATTTTGTAAACATCAGAGCAAATGAAGACAAAAGCCAGTGTGTACCCATGTAAAAATGTGTGGTTTAGCAAGAAATTCCAAAAGGAAGAAGATGCTGTTTCATGGACCTTTCTGAAAACCCTGCTGGGGTAGTTCAGGTGCAGAGCTGATCCCAAACGCTCCGTGGGCAGCAAAGGAAGCTGCTGGCAGCCTGTAGCTCACACATTTTGGGCATGACCTCATTCTTTACTATCACTTTTCATTTCTGTTGCAGTGTTTTAAAAACCAAAGCTTGACGTCATTTTTGTATTATATACCTTTCATTATTACTTAAGGAACACAAAGACTCAACTGAAAGTTATAAAAGAAACCATCCCTTCCTCACAACTCAGTCTCATCCAGTGAGAAGGGAGCACCATCACATGTCTTTGTATCCAAACACACACACCAAATAGTTCTGCTGATTTACAGTGGGCTTCCTTCCCTGAAGGGAAGCCCAAAGCTAATGTCACTGAAGCAGCATTTTTTGAAATTAACTACATAGCAGCAGTACTGCAGAATTTTCCTAATGAATTTTGACTTTCAAAGACATATTTCCTTCTACTTAATAGCAAAGCTATATCTTATATAATGCAGAACCATTACATTATCCATACTCCAGTTTTATATATATATATCTACATTAAAACAGAATTGTTAAAGTGATTGAAGACATTGCTTTATCTATAGGGAAATATCTGTCTTCATCAATCCCAATTACCTTAAAACATCTGCAAAAATCAATTCATACTGGAATTTCAGGGATTCCTTGAAATATAAAATTTAATGTTACAACTTTTTTTCTATTTGATCATACCAACCCAAATCAAGTTTAAGCAATGATTACTTATCAATCCATCCAAAGCAAGGGAAGTTTTTCCTTCCAACAAGTAGCTGTCCTCATCGACAACTGATAATTTAGTCTTATTTTAAACCTTTGGAATGGTTTAAATAACCATTTGCTGTAATATCAACATAATCTGATTTAATCCAGCCTCCGAACTCTCCTAGAAGTTACTTTTACACCTGCATTTTTACTTCTCAAATGAATCACTGAACACCCTATTTCCCCAGCAAGAAAGAGGTCAACATTCAACTCCTGCAGGACCCTAGGGAAGAACAAACAGCACATGGAAGTGGGCCTCAGAAGAGTGAAGACAACTCTACCCAAACCCTGTCCTAGGCAGTATTCTGTGCTCCACACTGCTGCAACAGGATTTGCAGTGTAACCAGGAAAAATGCCATGTTTAACATCCGAGATAGTTAAACTTCCCTCTAATCACAAACTTCAGCTGGTAAGTTGTTTCAATTCCTCAGCATCCGTACAAATGGTGTTTTTTTCGTCTTTGTTCGCGAGGCAGAGCTCCTGAGAAGCTGGGAAGGTACCTTGGCTGCCACGGAGCGCAGGTTCCAAGGGATACACGAGGCCTACAGGGAATTTCGTGCCCCAGACGCCGATTCCACCGGCAGCGGGGGGAACACCTGCTGTACCACCCCTCCGACCCCGCCGGTAACACTCGTAAAGAGGAAACTTCGGGAGGGAGCCGGAGACCACCCCTGAAGCCAAACACCCGGCAGCAGCTTCCCAACCTCGCCAAACCGAGCCAGGCTCCTCCAGGCGCCGCTTCCCTCGCAGCTTCGGGAGAATCGGTGCCCGAAAAGCACCTGCACCGCGTACCGAGGCCAGGCATAGGGAGGGGGAGGCAGGATCGCTCCGAGCCGCCTTCGCTGCTGCTGCTGCCGGTTAAAAGGGACCCAGCCCAGGCCCGGCTGCCCCGGAGCGGCTCCCGGGCAGCTCCTCAGCCCGGCCAGGCCCCGCCGCGGCTGCCGGGGATGCGGATCCCGAGGGAAAGGGGAGATGGAGCGGGGACACGGCGGCGGCAGGCCCGCCCCAGGCCGCGGGGAAGGAAGAGGGAAGGAAGCGCCGAGCAGGGCATGGAGGGAGCTCCTCCATGGCAAGGGAGAGAGGGAACCCCGCGCCCGGCAGGCCCGAGGCGGGCGGGGAGAGGCGAGGAAGGAGGCGAAGCGGGGCTGTAACCCGGTGCAGAGGAGGGTCCGCGGGGTCCCGGCCCGGGGGGAGGGAAGCGGGGGAGGGCGGCCGCACTTACTCTCATTTAACACCTCCAGCAGCTCGGCGCAGCTCTCACACATTGTTCATTAACAGCAGCAGCCGCCGCCGCCGCCTCCTCCCGACCATTGATTGATCCGCTCGGTGCTGCTGATTGATGATTGATGGGGGCCGGGGCGGGGGTCACCGGGGGGGAGGGGGGGGGGGGGGGGGGGGGGGGGGGGGGGGGGGGGGGGGGGGGGGGGGGGGGGGGGGGGGGGGGGAAGAGGCAGGGGCCGGTCTGGGATCCGGGGCGGCTGATCAATGCAAATGAGCCTGTGGCGGCGGCGGCAGCGGCGGGGAGGAGGAGGAGAAGCCGAGTCACTCACTGGCTCCCAGGGACACCACGCGCCGCCATTTTGCTGAGGGGGAAGGAGGAGGAGGAGGCGACGGGAGCGAAGGGGGGGACAGGGTGCTCGGGCGCCGCTCGGCAGTTTCCGACCAGGCGGGAGGAGGCGAAGGTGGCCGAGTCCCTCCTCCTCCCTTTTCCCTCTCGCCCCGCCTTCCCACCGCGGTTCCGAGCGGCGGGATGGCGAGCGGGGAGGAGGAGGCAAGGGGGCGGGAGTGTAAAATGGCGGCGGCGGCGGTGGCGGTTGGGCGCGCGCCCGGGGAAGGGCGGGAAGCGCCTCTTCCTGCCCTCTCCCACCTCCCGCGGCCGGGAATCTCCGCCAGGAACGCGCGCACGCCGCCGCTCTGACAGCGGCGGGGGAGCGACTTCTGCCCGCCCCTTCCCTCGGTGCCTGGAGCCGCGCTGGCCGGGCTGCCTGGGGGACCTCCCGCCTGAAGAGAGCGCTTAGCACGCTAAGCCGAGCTCTGTGGCGAGGAAGCTCCCAGCTTCCAGGCGCGTTTCCAGGTCTTTTGGCTGGTTTCTGGGCGTTTTCCGCCGTCGGGGCGCGGGACGGAAGAGCCGCCGCCATCTCCTTCCCGCCCAGCGCGGCTGACGGGAGCGGGGGCACCTGTGGGCGCCGCCGACCCGGACCCCGAGAATGGGCGTTTGGAGGGCTACGGTAGCGTTTTCTACTAATAACTAATTCATTTTTACCTGTAGTTTTCCGCCCTGGTTTGTTGGGGGTGGTTTTTTTTTTTCGGTTGGTTGGGTTTTTTTTTTTTGCCCCCCCCTTCTTGCACCGTGATTTATTTTATACAGTCTGTAATGGCATCTGTGACTGGCTGGAAATAGCTTTTTCTAAATAAAATACAAAATCAAAATGAACGAAAAACTTTAATTAAGGATACGTTATTCATGCTGTTTAAACTACCGGTTAGTTCACTCTGACTTGGGGTCGTTTTGAACGAGGTTTCAAACCCTTGCATGACAAATTTTCAGGCAAACATGTGTTTTCCATTTTTAGAAAATAGCCCAACCTTTTTTTTTTTTTTTTTCCATCTCCCAATCCTGCTCCGTCTCCCAGGTACATGTATCTGGAATATGGACCACACGATCCTGATCTTGGCTGGTTTTTCTCCCCAAAGCAGGCACTTCCCGAGTATGAAGCGCTGTTTTTTATTTCTGTAGTACCACCCAGTGGTGAGTCCGTGTGTTACTCTGAACGCTTCGAGTTTACCGACGTGTACACGGGATTAAAAACGCAAATCTATTAATAGCCGCAATGCAGATGCAATATAGTTTAGCAGAAAGTCAAATAGAATCACCAAATGAAGGCTGGGAGAAAAAAAAAAAGTTGTTTTGAATTTTTCAGTATCTGTCTCGTATTTCTTCCACTGCCACAGAAATAAATCTGCTGGCATTGTGGCAGTGCAGTTCTGTTTTTTTTTTAATTCCATGTGCATATTTATCCCGGCTGATAACACCGTGGTGGTTGTTCATGTAGCCTCCCACTCCAGGCCACAGAATGCTCAACTCCAAATAATCCTCTAGGCATCACTTAGTAAAACTAAGATAAAAAATCCCACTGCTGTTCAAAAGTAGCAGATAATTAACTGTAAATAACAGGTAGGGAACAACTACAGTGCAAGTCAGGAATATACTAGAATGATGTTTCACCCAGAGTTTGTGTCACTGCTTGATTTTGAAATACATTCCAAGTCAGGCTTATCAACAAAGCTAGCTATACCTAAATATTCCCTGCTGAAATTTCCTTTTACTATTTTAAACTAATACAGAAAATTAACTTGAGAATTTACAGGAGACACAGATTCCTTGTCTGTCTCTCACTTTAATCCACATAACATGTTAAAGCAAATGTATTTCAAATGGGAATAACAAGGGGTAGTAATGCAAGAGAGAGGTTGAAGACTGAGTAAAAACCTAAAAACTTCCCTGAATCTTTGTACTCATCTTTCTCCTTAGATTTAATGTATAGCTATTTTAATTCTTGACAGTGTCTTTTCTAAATTATGTCTTTTCTATTGATAGAAATCTGACCAGCATGAGCTAGTTAGCTCTTAAACCGGTTACATCACTAAGTTTCCATAATAATAACAACTATTTAATAGCTAACTGGTTTAGTTATTAAAATGACACAGATGTACTGGACCCTGCAAAGCCTTTTCTGGTTGCTTCATCTTTTCCAGCTAGCCTGAGAATTCATAATGGAAGAATAAAAGGAGTGCAGAACATTGCAATTATGTTCTGCTCCTGCTTGAATTAATGAACACTTTTCTACAGAACCAATTTCAAAGCTTGATGTCCATCTAAAGGTAGATCAGAGGATTTTATGTTGTGTACCCACATGTAAGTGTTCACTTGATGTTGTGCTGCCTAACCTTCTGTGTCCAAGATGATTTCAGTTACTGTGGAATACCTCACTCTACAATCTGCATCACCTCATTTGAATTTGCACTTTTCTCTCTGCTTTTTCTTCCTCAAGCAGGCCCTGCAGTAACTTCTACAGCAGACTCAAAGTGAACTGCCAGAACATTTTCAGAGATGGTTTTCCTGAGGAACCAGCTGTCTGATCTGAGTGCAGCCCCACACAAACACCGGAGTCGGCAGAAGGGACCTTCTGGAGCATGGTGTCACATGCCAAGCTCAAGTACAGCAGAACATGGGTGACCTTGAATCACTCTTGCTTTTGAGCAGAACGAAATATTGAAAGTCTGATTCCTTTTACTGCACACTATTTTTTTTTTAAACTAGAGACTAAATTGAATTCTTTTAAATTAAATTAAATGTTAGCTTCCAAGCTGAAGACAAGACCTGTCAGTGGCCTGGTTACAGAGATCATCAGCCTCCTGCTCTTGCATGCTTTGTTCTTCCTCTTGACCTTGATTCTCTCTGTGTGCCATCCCAGCCAAGGTTGTATTATCCCCAGGAGGCCTCTTCCCCCTCCCCTGGCTGCACTTGTCCTCATCTGGGTATATTTGCTCTGGTAAAGTGCCAGCACAGTTCTTCTAGAGAACAACTTCTTCTAATTTAGATAAATGCAAGACTTGGGCAAAATTAATTTTTTTTATCCAAGTTTGGGACTGGATTAAGAACAAGATCGTGAATTTTCAAAATTCACGTTCCAACGTTGAGCTAGCAGTTTAACTGGAGTCCAGTTAAACATCATTTCTGGAATGCTGCTGGAAACCACTGGAAGCCATGAGCAACAGTCAGTTTTGAGTTTACCCACATTTAAGTTTCAGCATTTGACTTTTATTGCTCTTTTAGCATTCTAAACTTTTTAATAGGGTCCATATGTCTGACTAGGCTTTGGTGTCATAGCACCCCAAGAAGACAAATCCAAATTGATTTACCCCAAATAATACAGAATAATCAAAATTTGGCCACAAATATCATGTAATACAGACAAGGCATTTCTGAGTATGAGAGACTGCCACCAGAAACAGAACCACTACCAAAGTGGTCCAGGCAGCTTCTCTTGTACATTTGGACCTCTTTCAGACTTTTTAGTGGTGAAACACACATTTGCAGTGTTGCTTTGGAGAACTTTGCCTGGCTAGCAATGTTCCTGTTACAATAACCAGCAGTGGGGTACAAAGTGGGCTGGAGCCTGCTCTCCAACACAGGAGGGAAAATTTTAACTCCCCTCCCCACTCCAGTTGTTAAATTGGCCCATTCTTCTGATAATCTTTGCTGAAATCACAAGATCCACAAAAGATTGCAGACTTCAAGGCTCAGGAAAAGCTGAGAATATTGAAAAGGATTTAAGATTTCAAAGGTGCTCACAACCAAAAAAACAGGCCCCCCAAAAATACTCATGTGAGACTGGGAATCGATTACCCAAGAAATCACCTAGGAAAAAGTGCTGGATTATTCTTATTTACAAGAAGTAAATAAAAAATTAAAATCTGAGTGTCTCATTTTCTTCCATACTCTTAACCTCCAAAAAACTCCTCCTTCATCAATCCCATTTTTCCCCTATACAGACTTAAAACACAAAGTTTGTAGGTCTTAAATCTGGTACTTTTAGGTAGTTGAGGTGCATTGTACATGGGATAATGATACAAAAAATTATTCCCTCAATGGGAATGGCCAAGCCTTTTCCCAAGGGAACCCTGCTGACAGGGACAGCCTTGGACAATGAAGTGAGCATGTCCTGAAGCTGAAAGCCTAAACATCAATTCAGTCTCGAGGATTAAAGTGCAGAGGAGGATTCCTGATGGGCAGGTGGACAGGATTATGCTTTTAGTGATGTTTTTTAAAGAGCTATCTCAAACATTCCAGTTTTGCTCCATAACACCTGGAGACAAACCTAGCAAGGGGGAGAAGGAGGTTTAGCCACACCTTCCAGCACCCCTGGGGGCTGGGATCAGTAATTATCATTTACCCAGTGATAAATGCACTCTGGGACACTCTGGTCCCTCACCACAGCACTAAGGCAAATTCCTCACCTGAGGCAGTCTCTGCATTTTAATGCATCATTTTCATAATCTTTTTCTTTTTTTCCCCTTTAAGCTGAAGTTTTATTGCTTTTCCAGTGCTAAGAACTACCAGCAGTAACACTTAAAGCTTCCTAGAGAGATGAGCATTTCTAAAGCTTTTTTTTTTTGCATAAATATTAGCTTTATTGGAAAATAGTTCACTAAAACCAATCAGATTAACACACATCAAATTATTCTAGTTTAAAAAAACCAAAACCAACTAAAATCCTTTGGAAGATAATCTGCTTCAGTTACAGTAGCAAACACATCATGGCTGCCTGAAACAAGTACTTGGGGTGTCTTAATCAGCTGACAATCAATCCATGTAAACACAGAAAACACCCCAAAATATTTGTATTTATCAATGTACCTGGAGTACACAGAACTGTTTTGTTTTTCCTTTTTTTTTTTTTTTTTTTTT